AGCCGCCGAACAACGTTATCCACCAAGCGGCTTTCGGTTCCAATCAGCAGTCTCTAAACGCAAATAATAAATCCCCCCAATAACGAGACAGAAGCTCTGCATTGAGGGTCAAACAGGATCTGTTTAATGAGGGCTACCTGCCCAGTATTTATGCAGGTCTCCCACCTGGTGGACACTCCCCTAGGGGACCAAATGGGTGACTGTGACAAGGGACAGACAAGTAGCCAAATAGGACACACAGTCACATTGTATTCCCACAATGCATCCTGGCTTCCTCAAGCTCTGCCTTGGAGATAATTGAGAAGTAATTAAATTATCTCCCAAGACAAAGGCAAATCACCATTATGCACATGGGGATACTAACTCAGGAATTACTATTAAAATGCACTATGTGAGACATAAAAGCATATTATTAAGCGAATGGCGCTCAGACCACATGAATACAGTTTAATCGCCGTGGAGCTTAAGTCTTTACACAGTCAGTTTCATGCGAATGGGCTCCATGGGATTCCTATCTGGGGTATAACACATTCAAGCAAAACTAGTGTCCGATTTCAGTTCCATGAATTAAGCGTCGAACACCGCTGTGCATTTGTATGTTTAAAATGGCCGCGACCTCGTGTTCGTGATACGAATGGCGGCCACCCAGCATTCGTCAATTAAGCTGCGGTTAACCGCAGCTTCAGGGAGGCTAATTGCCAGCACACTCCAGCTCCCAGGTGGTCCAGTCATTCGTGCGGTTGTTCGGTAGATTGAATCTACCGAACACCAGGCAGAAAAGCACAAATAAAGCTTTTCTGCAGGCGAAACAAAGTCTTTAAACATGGGGGCCATAGTCTAAAGACAACAGGCGAGCAACCAGGCTTCTCCAATGCAATGTGGGGAGATTGGTCTCATCACAGGTAGATATTGGCCTGAAATATATTTGTAATATAACAACCTTAGTTGGTATATATGTTCCAGGAGCTGATCCACCTAAAATGGCTTTGCAAATCAACTCCAATATTGTCTGAAAGGAGCTGGAAGAAATGAAATAAATGCAGTAAAACTATATGGTGTATACACCTTTAAATCTGCTATAGGCAGAGTAAATGGAGTGAGCACCAGATACTATACTTTACACATACCAACTCCAAGATGTTTGAGAAACAGTATATGAGACTGTTCTCTCTGGTAATGAAAGATAAAGGAATTAAATCACATAAAATATTGTGTGCAATATTACTATGTATGGTGTCTGCACCTTTAAGTCTATTATAGAATAGACAGAATAGGGCATTCACCCAAAACTACTGTACTTTTAAAAAAGATATAAACCTTAAAACAGGAGTACAGTATTGAAGACTGCTCCTATAATGCAATAATGTTATCGCTTAAAAATAACCACGTAGGGGAAAAAAAAAAAGAGCTTAAAATGAATAAATCAAATTTATTAAAAAATAGATAATGAAAAGTAATAATAATAAATATATAGATTAATTAAAATACCAAAATATAAGTCAGGAACGAAAGGCAAGAATGTTACCAGCACAATTGTAGTCCTTGTTAGCAAATTGTATCTGGGGCCGGCCAGGATGGATGTGGATACTATGTGTCACCAATAGTTCTCTCTGGCTGTCGGCTTACAGTGAGGTCGGCGTGCGTCTCAGACCTCACTCTGAGAACTGCACGCTGCAGCCCGATCGGCCTACGACTCGTGCAGGCTTCTTTCAGTGTGTCCAAGGTCCTACTGCCGAGTCAACTTCTGCCACCGTATCCTGCTTGCAAATCTGACGCGTTTCGTGGGTGTCCGCCCCACTTCTTCAGAGATAGAATGTTACTTTGTGGTTAAGTGATGGTTTAAATACATATCTAATTGGTTAATCCTAATTAATATACAAATCAATAAATACAGTGATTTAATACAATTAAATGTTTAGAAGGATATATTGCACATGAAATGGGAATAATATATTGCACATAAAAATGAATATATTGCACATAGAAATAAAAATGATATATTGCACATGAAAATAGAAAAACAATTGGAGATACATATATAGAAAACAAGAATGAGAGATCAATTGCAGTTGATTTTACATCCAATTAGTCAATAGATTTAAAAGGATAATGTCACAATAAGGAGGCAAACTCTTAAAATATATTACATCAAGAAATATGTTGTTGGAAATAGATGCATATATCAGCATGTAATAGCAGGATCTAAATAAAAATAATAGAAACAGTGATTATTATATCTCATGATTTCATATACTTTTTCAAATATTATTGATAAAAATATAAAAAGCAATACAATGATGCATTCATTTGAATAAATAGTGCTATGAAGTCATTGGCTTATTATTAAAGGTCTCAGTAATTGCCTAAAAAGAGCCTTTAAGTGGTGAAAAGGTAGAATGGTAGAAGAAAAAAGTCAAGGAAAAAAAGGGAACAGTATATACAAATACAGTCAGTGATATTAATATCTCTATATTAGAATATATGGGTATAGTGGTGTATATTTTAGTTTGTGCAAAATTAACTGGAAGAGAAAGATATATAAAGAAATAGATTACCAGTGTCATATATACTTAAGTGTAAAGTCCGTGTGTATATGGGACATGGAAATATATAAGTACCCATAGTTGATACGGATTCGTTGATCAAATGGAATGTGATAGACCGTAGTGGTTGATAAAAAAAAAAAAAAAAAGGGGGGGAACGGGAAATGCTGAAATAGTCTGTGCATGTACTTCGTAGTGTTCTATAAGAAGGCATTGAGTTCAAAGTCCACATTGAGACCTTTAGGGACCAGAGTCTCTAAGTGAAAAATCCATTTTGCTTCAGCCTGATCCAGGTTTCTTTCCATGTCTCCCCCTCTCCAGTGGACATTCACCTTTTCAATAGGTAAAAATATCAGTCCCTTCGGATCTCCTCCATGGTACTCCTGATAGTGTTTGGAGAGATTGTGTGTTTGTAATCCTCTTTTTATATTTCGGATGTGTTCCGCTATTCTGATTTTTAAAGATCTCTTGGTTCGACCCACGTATTGTTTTGAACAGGGACATGTAACCAGATAGATTACTCCTATTGAGTCACAGTTCATATTAGATTTCAGATCGTATTCCTTCTTACTGACTGTAGATGTAAACTTTGTGATTGTGTGTTCTAAAGAAGGATTGTTTCTGCAGGCTATAAATTTCCTGCATCTACTAAAACCTGTATCCACTGGTTTATCTTTAATGGTATTGGGAGGTTTGAGTGTCGGCGCCAACATGAGTTGAAGGTTTGGTGCTCTGGTAAAGATAACATGTGGTCTAGAGTCTAGAATTTCTACAAGTGTGGGATCATTCCTGAGAATGTTCCAATGTTTTTTCAAAATCTTTTCTATAGTGTGAGACTGATGGTTAAATTGTGTTATAAAAGTAGGTGCTGAATTAAATGTATCGACAGTCTTAATCCTATTTTTTAGGTATCTTCTCTTGGGATTAGTATAGCTTTCTTTTTGGCTTCAGTCAATAATTCCGTAGGATATCCTTTATTGAGGAATCTTTGCTGCATCTCCTCCATCTGTTCTTTACATACTTCCATTGTTGAACAGTTCCGTCTGATCCTTCTAAATTGGTTGTATGGAATATTTCTGAGCCAGGTTTGTTTATGGTGGCTATTAAAAGGAATGAAACTGTTACAGTCCACGGTTTTTTTAAAAGTTTTCGTATGGATCTTCTGTTCCTCAATAAAAATATTTAAATCTAAAAATTCAATGTGTTTCTGAGAATGATTAAAAGTGAATTTAAGATTATATGGATTGTTGTTGAGGTAAATCTGGAAGGCTTCCAGGGATTCTGGGTTCCCTTTCCAGATAAAAAAACAGTCATCTATGTATCTGCGCCATAGGGACAGGTTTGCGCCAAAAGGGCAATGGTTCCAGATAAACTCTTCCTCCCATTTGCCCATGAATAAATTTGCATAACTTGGCGCAAACCTTGTCCCCATGGCTGTACCTTCTATTTGTAGATAAAAATGTTCATCACACCAGAAATAGTTATGGGTGAGAATAAAAACAATACATTGAATTAAAAAATCAATCTGATCATTTTTTAGTTCTAAGTATACTGCTAGGGAATATTGTATGGCCTCACATCCCTGCAGATGCTCTATCACCGTGTAAAGAGAAGTGACATCTGCTGTCACTAAAATCATATCATCAGTCCAATTAAAATCCGATAAAAGGTTTAAAATTTGAGTTGAATCTCTTAAATGTGATTTTAAACATGGTACCAGATGCTGGAGATATTGATCCACATATTCGGAGAGGTTGGCAGTGAGGGATCCTATTCCTGAAATAATTGGTCTCCCTGGTGGTTTTGTTAATTTCTTGTGGATCTTAGGTAAATGATAGAAAATCGGTATTCTGGGGAATTGTTTGAATAAATATTTAAATTCTCTGTCGTTAATGATTCCCCTCTCCTTCCCTTGTTCAAGTATTTCTCTTAGTTTTGCTTTGAATGATATAGTTGGATCCTGTTCGAGTTTGAGGTAAGTATTAGTGTCACTTAATAGTCTTTGGTTCTCTCCTGTGTAGTCCTCTGTATTAAGAATGACTAATCCACCCCCTTTGTCTGCTGCCTTTATGGTTATGTCCCCCATTTTCATAAGTTGTTTCAATGCATTTCTTTCCTTTTTGGTTAGATTATCTTTCGTGATCTTATTAGTAATCTCTTTCCGAAAATCTTTCTCGACCATCTTTTCAAACACTTTGATTGAGTCAGTCTTAACATGCTGTGGGTAAAACGTAGAAGTGGGATGTAATCTTGTATGTGTGTAGTCTTGTACAGTATCTATTTCAGTCTTATCTTTATCTGCAAAGAATTTTTTAATTGAAACTTTACGTATGAACTTATGTAAATCTATACATGCATTGAAATTTGAACTACTGGAGGTTGGTGCAAATTTCAGACCCTTTTTTAGGAGTGTTATTTCATCTGTATTCAAAGTCTTGGAGGATAAGTTGAATATATTTATCTCCTCCTCTTCAACTGTATTGGGTCCTCTTGATGGTCGTTTTCTTCTTCTGTTTCTTTTATTGTTCTTTTCTTTCTCAGGTCCGGAGACCTGAAATCCTCCATCATAAATTTCCTGGGGGGAATCCTCCCCCGTTTTTCTAAAAAATCATTTTCTGCATGTATTACTGAAGTAGATTGAGTATCCCTTTTGTCTTTGTCGTCCTTATTAGTGGATTTACCCTTAACTCGATCTAGGGGGAGAACCCTAAGATCTGGAGTATATTCGTGTTGGTACTCACGTGATTGCCAATCCGTATAGTGTGAGTGCTTGATATAGTGTGGACGTTGATCATATTTCTCTCGATGTATTTGTTTCCTCTGCATCGGTCGGTAATGATCATAGTTTCTGTCATTCTGTCTTCTATTCAATGTAGGTTCATATTGGGTCCAGTTGGTAGTATGCTTCCGCATATAGGTCTTCTGGGGAATTGGACTGTTCCTATATGTTTTTTGGTATTGTGGTCTAAATTCCCTTTGTTGTCTTGAGGGGGAGTCATATCTCTGTCTTGGGTCTTTCTTCCAGTTTCTCTGTGTCTGTGTTGCATAATCGGCTTGGTCCCTAATGATTTTCTTCCTTTTATTCTCCCTAATACTGGCCTCAATATCTTTAACTCTTCTTTCTATCTTGTCTAGGAGTTCCACAAACTCCCCATTCTCCACTAAGGGACGGATGGCTGTTTTGAGTTCTGTGATATCCAAATCTAATTGTGTGAGGTCCTTTTTCTTCTCATTAATAAGGAATACCATTAATAATAGGGATCCCTTATCTAGAAGTTGATCCCATTTTTTGAGTAGTGTTGCATCCTGTCTTTTATAGGTGGATCGTTTAAATAGCCTCAGGCCTCTTGGTACTATATTGTTATTCACATAGAAGTCTAAGGCCGCTATATCCCACCATATTTGTATTTCTCTTTCCATTGCTTTGCCTAATTGGTAAATTAAAGATCTTATATCTGTCTGTTGGTTGGTAGACTGTGGGATGGATTCACTTGTTTTCTGGCTGTCTTCCTTGGATGACCAGGTGTCCATAAAGGACTTTCTGTCCATTCTTATTGAATCAATGTTCCTGCTTAAAGCCATAGTCGTCTTCTAATACCTCAAGAAGGTGAAATTAAGGGAGTAAAAAATGAAAAAGACTGGTATGCCTAATGCAACACACAGGTTTGAGGGAATCAGACTTAGGTAAATTGCTCAAAACTGGATAAATACAGGAATTCACCACACCTGTCTTAAGAGGTTTGGTAATAGGAAAGAGTAATATAACAACCTTAGTTGGTATATATGTTCCAGGAGCTGATCCACCTAAAATGGCTTTGCAAATCAACTCCAATATTGTCTGAAAGGAGCTGGAAGAAATGAAATAAATGCAGTAAAACTATATGGTGTATACACCTTTAAATCTGCTATAGGCAGAGTAAATGGAGTGAGCACCAGATACTATACTTTACACATACCAACTCCAAGATGTTTGAGAAACAGTATATGAGACTGTTCTCTCTGGTAATGAAAGATAAAGGAATTAAATCACATAAAATATTGTGTGCAATATTACTATGTATGGTGTCTGCACCTTTAAGTCTATTATAGAATAGACAGAATAGGGCATTCACCCAAAACTACTGTACTTTTAAAAAAGATATAAACCTTAAAACAGGAGTACAGTATTGAAGACTGCTCCTATAATGCAATAATGTTATCGCTTAAAAATAACCACGTAGGGGAAAAAAAAAAGAGCTTAAAATGAATAAATCAAATTTATTAAAAAATAGATAATGAAAAGTAATAATAATAAATATATAGATTAATTAAAATACCAAAATATAAGTCAGGAACGAAAGGCAAGAATGTTACCAGCACAATTGTAGTCCTTGTTAGCAAATTGTATCTGGGGCCGGCCAGGATGGATGTGGATACTATGTGTCACCAATAGTTCTCTCTGGCTGTCGGCTTACAGTGAGGTCGGCGTGCGTCTCAGACCTCACTCTGAGAACTGCACGCTGCAGCCCGATCGGCCTACGACTCGTGCAGGCTTCTTTCAGTGTGTCCAAGGTCCTACTGCCGAGTCAACTTCTGCCACCGTATCCTGCTTGCAAATCTGACGCGTTTCGTGGGTGTCCGCCCCACTTCTTCAGAGATAGAATGTTACTTTGTGGTTAAGTGATGGTTTAAATACATATCTAATTGGTTAATCCTAATTAATATACAAATCAATAAATACAGTGATTTAATACAATTAAATGTTTAGAAGGATATATTGCACATGAAATGGGAATAATATATTGCACATAAAAATGAATATATTGCACATAGAAATAAAAATGATATATTGCACATGAAAATAGAAAAACAATTGGAGATACATATATAGAAAACAAGAATGAGAGATCAATTGCAGTTGATTTTACATCCAATTAGTCAATAGATTTAAAAGGATAATGTCACAATAAGGAGGCAAACTCTTAAAATATATTACATCAAGAAATATGTTGTTGGAAATAGATGCATATATCAGCATGTAATAGCAGGATCTAAATAAAAATAATAGAAACAGTGATTATTATATCTCATGATTTCATATACTTTTTCAAATATTATTGATAAAAATATAAAAAGCAATACAATGATGCATTCATTTGAATAAATAGTGCTATGAAGTCATTGGCTTATTATTAAAGGTCTCAGTAATTGCCTAAAAAGAGCCTTTAAGTGGTGAAAAGGTAGAATGGTAGAAGAAAAAAGTCAAGGAAAAAAAGGGAACAGTATATACAAATACAGTCAGTGATATTAATATCTCTATATTAGAATATATGGGTATAGTGGTGTATATTTTAGTTTGTGCAAAATTAACTGGAAGAGAAAGATATATAAAGAAATAGATTACCAGTGTCATATATACTTAAGTGTAAAGTCCGTGTGTATATGGGACATGGAAATATATAAGTACCCATAGTTGATACGGATTCGTTGATCAAATGGAATGTGATAGACCGTAGTGGTTGATAAAAAAAAAAAAAAAAAGGGGGGGAACGGGAAATGCTGAAATAGTCTGTGCATGTACTTCGTAGTGTTCTATAAGAAGGCATTGAGTTCAAAGTCCACATTGAGACCTTTAGGGACCAGAGTCTCTAAGTGAAAAATCCATTTTGCTTCAGCCTGATCCAGGTTTCTTTCCATGTCTCCCCCTCTCCAGTGGACATTCACCTTTTCAATAGGTAAAAATATCAGTCCCTTCGGATCTCCTCCATGGTACTCCTGATAGTGTTTGGAGAGATTGTGTGTTTGTAATCCTCTTTTTATATTTCGGATGTGTTCCGCTATTCTGATTTTTAAAGATCTCTTGGTTCGACCCACGTATTGTTTTGAACAGGGACATGTAACCAGATAGATTACTCCTATTGAGTCACAGTTCATATTAGATTTCAGATCGTATTCCTTCTTACTGACTGTAGATGTAAACTTTGTGATTGTGTGTTCTAAAGAAGGATTGTTTCTGCAGGCTATAAATTTCCTGCATCTACTAAAACCTGTATCCACTGGTTTATCTTTAATGGTATTGGGAGGTTTGAGTGTCGGCGCCAACATGAGTTGAAGGTTTGGTGCTCTGGTAAAGATAACATGTGGTCTAGAGTCTAGAATTTCTACAAGTGTGGGATCATTCCTGAGAATGTTCCAATGTTTTTTCAAAATCTTTTCTATAGTGTGAGACTGATGGTTAAATTGTGTTATAAAAGTAGGTGCTGAATTAAATGTATCGACAGTCTTAATCCTATTTTTTAAGGTATCTTCTCTTGGGATTAGTATAGCTTTCTTTTTGGCTTCAGTCAATAATTCCGTAGGATATCCTTTATTGAGGAATCTTTGCTGCATCTCCTCCATCTGTTCTTTACATACTTCCATTGTTGAACAGTTCCGTCTGATCCTTCTAAATTGGTTGTATGGAATATTTCTGAGCCAGGTTTGTTTATGGTGGCTATTAAAAGGAATGAAACTGTTACAGTCCACGGTTTTTTTAAAAGTTTTCGTATGGATCTTCTGTTCCTCAATAAAAATATTTAAATCTAAAAATTCAATGTGTTTCTGAGAATGATTAAAAGTGAATTTAAGATTATATGGATTGTTGTTGAGGTAAATCTGGAAGGCTTCCAGGGATTCTGGGTTCCCTTTCCAGATAAAAAAACAGTCATCTATGTATCTGCGCCATAGGGACAGGTTTGCGCCAAAAGGGCAATGGTTCCAGATAAACTCTTCCTCCCATTTGCCCATGAATAAATTTGCATAACTTGGCGCAAAGAAACAATCCTTCTTTAGAACACACAATCACAAAGTTTACATCTACAGTCAGTAAGAAGGAATACGATCTGAAATCTAATATGAACTGTGACTCAATAGGAGTAATCTATCTGGTTACATGTCCCTGTTCAAAACAATACGTGGGTCGAACCAAGAGATCTTTAAAAATCAGAATAGCGGAACACATCCGAAATATAAAAAGAGGATTACAAACACACAATCTCTCCAAACACTATCAGGAGTACCATGGAGGAGATCCGAAGGGACTGATATTTTTACCTATTGAAAAGGTGAATGTCCACTGGAGAGGGGGAGACATGGAAAGAAACCTGGATCAGGCTGAAGCAAAATGGATTTTTCACTTAGAGACTCTGGTCCCTAAAGGTCTCAATGTGGACTTTGAACTCAATGCCTTCTTATAGAACACTACGAAGTACATGCACAGACTATTTCAGCATTTCCCGTTCCCCCCCTTTTTTTTTTTTTTTTTATCAACCACTACGGTCTATCACATTCCATTTGATCAACGAATCCGTATCAACTATGGGTACTTATATATTTCCATGTCCCATATACACACGGACTTTACACTTAAGTATATATGACACTGGTAATCTATTTCTTTATATATCTTTCTCTTCCAGTTAATTTTGCACAAACTAAAATATACACCACTATACCCATATATTCTAATATAGAGATATTAATATCACTGACTGTATTTGTATATACTGTTCCCTTTTTTTCCTTGACTTTTTTCTTCTACCATTCTACCTTTTCACCACTTAAAGGCTCTTTTTAGGCAATTACTGAGACCTTTAATAATAAGCCAATGACTTCATAGCACTATTTATTCAAATGAATGCATCATTGTATTGCTTTTTATATTTTTATCAATAATATTTGAAAAAGTATATGAAATCATGAGATATAATAATCACTGTTTCTATTATTTTTATTTAGATCCTGCTATTACATGCTGATATATGCATCTATTTCCAACAACATATTTCTTGATGTAATATATTTTAAGAGTTTGCCTCCTTATTGTGACATTATCCTTTTAAATCTATTGACTAATTGGATGTAAAATCAACTGCAATTGATCTCTCATTCTTGTTTTCTATATATGTATCTCCAATTGTTTTTCTATTTTCATGTGCAATATATCATTTTTATTTCTATGTGCAATATATTCATTTTTATGTGCAATATATTATTCCCATTTCATGTGCAATATATCCTTCTAAACATTTAATTGTATTAAATCACTGTATTTATTGATTTGTATATTAATTAGGATTAACCAATTAGATATGTATTTAAACCATCACTTAACCACAAAGTAACATTCTATCTCTGAAGAAGTGGGGCGGACACCCACGAAACGCGTCAGATTTGCAAGCAGGATACGGTGGCAGAAGTTGACTCGGCAGTAGGACCTTGGACACACTGAAAGAAGCCTGCACGAGTCGTAGGCCGATCGGGCTGCAGCGTGCAGTTCTCAGAGTGAGGTCTGAGACGCACGCCGACCTCACTGTAAGCCGACAGCCAGAGAGAACTATTGGTGACACATAGTATCCACATCCATCCTGGCCGGCCCCAGATACAATTTGCTAACAAGGACTACAATTGTGCTGGTAACATTCTTGCCTTTCGTTCCTGACTTATATTTTGGTATTTTAATTAATCTATATATTTATTATTATTACTTTTCATTATCTATTTTTTAATAAATTTGATTTATTCATTTTAAG